TTAATATGCACATTCAGCACATCCAATGCATCAAAACATTGTTTTCTAGTTGGAGCCGCGCCTCGTTTTCAAACTGTATGGTTTGACTAAAATGAACAATGACAGCAATATAGTCCACGATGAGCAGCGCTAAAATCAACCTGCGTAGTTGTCCCTCCATTGTGACATTAGAAAGTGTCACATTTATCTTGCAAGTGTACTCTTCTTCAACTTTCTGTTTACTTCCTGGTTTGTTCCCGCATGGAAATTTTGTCCAATCAAGAGCAGCTATCTCGCGCAAGGCATTTTATCTGGTCCACTTGTAAATGCTACCATGACAACATGAACCAACTCTAGGCAATTATGCAACTTGGTAACAAAATTAGTCCCTGATTTGGACCAAAGCAAGACAACTCTAGGTCTGACAGCACCCTTAAGCTGCCAGTCAGAGTCCTGTATCTGATCAGGTATCCGCGGGTACCCACCAAATGAACTGCAAAAAACGTGATTCGCAGGTAGTATTTTGTCTCAATTTTATTAATAAATTGTATTTCCTAAGTTACCTTTGATTTAAAATAAAGTTTAAAAAACATAATTTCACATGTATAAAATGTCCCAAAATGATCACTTTAAATATGCAACCTAACCAAAAAATTTGAACAGCACGTTTATTACAAGATTTTTGCAGTTTCAGGTTGGGCTGTGGATCTTGTGTTGACATGTTGGGTAGCATAACTATTCTGCTGTCTGCTGCAAGGTGCGGTATTGCACGTCATGGTGTTGGGGCAGGAAGGGGTCTTGAAAATCAGACGAGTGCAGGATTCTGCTGTCAGTATGCCTCACCATTACTATTTGTCAGTTGGCCAAATAGCTTCAGAAACCCCCTGCCAGTCGCATCAGGGTGGGCTGTGTCTGATGATCTGACATTCACACCCACTTCATGCTATGATTTGTCAGCTATGTGGAGGAGGTAAGAAAGAGGTCAAGGGTTTAACTTCTCTCTCAAGCTCCTTTTTTATTCTTCACACACCTATGTCTGTCACTTTTCATGTCTGTCACTTTTCATGTGAACAATGAGTGCAAAACTGTCTGGAAAAGTCAGCTGTTATCCTCATATTAAGCCATTATTGCGTCTCTTTATGGCTGCCCGCTTTTCAGTCAGCCTTCTAGTGTGGCTGTTTGAAACAGCTATAAACACTTTTGACTTGTGAGAGTCCTTTTGATACATAACCCAGTCCTTAGAGTCAAGTTAACGTGGTCTAAAAGTGTTTAGAAAGCCCCTTCAGGAGTTTGCAGTGGCTTGTTTAAAGTGTCAAACTTACCTACCTGCTGCCTAATGACATTTTTACTGCAGTAACTGTAACAGAACAAATTACCTGTCAAGCAGCCAAGAACTACCAATATTACAAAATGTAATGATGAGGAGTTCAAACAGTCTGAAGAATGATAACAGTCGGAGAAAATCACTCTGACCACTTCAGCAACCTGACAGGAGAGGATGTGACTGATAGAGACACTTTTCTTTTTTAGTGGAGGTATTTCATGTTTCGTTTTTGTGAGAGCAAAGTCTTCAGTGATGAGGACTATCTTCTCTTCAGACAAACAGCATCTTGAGTGAATTTTTCCAACAATTTAGAAAATACAAGGTCCAGTTTTAGTCCTGTTTCATACTTAAGTAATTATTTCCTGGCTTAGCTTGTCCCCACACGCACAAACATAAAAATTTAACTTTGGATATTTTAGTGTTTTTTCATTTTCCAATTGCAGTGTCTTACTGTTTTAAAGAATTAAAAGTCCAGTGCTCTCTAAAAGCACATACATGCAAAAGAAAACGATGATTCCTTGGTCTAGACGAATTGAACTGAAATACTAGAGACACACTATAAACAGACTTGAGGAAAATTGCTAGCTGAGCAACATTAAGCTACAATCAACCCATAATCCAACACTCTACAGAGCTCCAGACTGGTTGCTCGCAGTGCCTGAAATTAACTTTTTGACTTACTGGCCAAGGGGACTGGTACATGAAAAAAATCCACCAGCCAAGCATATTTACTTCTGGCCAAAATAACATAGCAAGCAGCTGACTGGCAGCATGCCTATTTTTCAAAATGTACAAAATGTATGCATACCTTTAGTATTTAATTATTTAAAAATGCTGAAGTAAAACAGCTTGAAAATGATCACAGAGGTACTCAGGGACCTGTTGAACAAGAATTATGATGGTTGCTAGCTACTACTTGATTTGATTTTTAACAAGGGAACAAGACCATGGTCATTACCAACAGGCTTTGCCTGTGAGCCTTATCACAAAATTTGGTTTCGATGATACTGATACCAGTGTCATAATTTATGAGGCCATAATCAGTCTGCTAAAATAACAGCTAATGATGAACAATTACAGTTTGAAAATGAAACATTATCCAATGCTGAAGATCTGATTCGACTAAAATATTAATTTCACTGCTGTATACCTGGATATTTATTGTCTGAGCCTCTGAACTTACTCTGCCAGTGAACTCTCTCTGTGTCAGAGGTCCGGATGCTGAGGCATTTATATCCACCCTTCTTTCTTTTCAGTTGCAGCTCCAAATTCTCTTTTCTGTGATTTTTTTTTTCCTTTTTCATTAATCCATCACTGCTATTATTTGTCAGATTAAACTAGTCAGGGTGCATGCTGCAATGTGCTCCATGTGTGTAACGCATATGTTGTTTAAGGTGCAGACAACACAAAAGCAGTAGCACTAGATGTGTTCACGACAACAGGACGTTGTTGAAGAGAAAGATAATCTCCTTTCTGGTATCAATTTTATTGACACAAGGATCGATCTTAACATGAAAACGTAGTATCTATATTATCGATATGTTGGCATTGATCAGCCATCCCCTATCTGTGACAGACAGACAGACGAGGACAGAAGTAGAGAGACTCTAAGTAACACCAAAACGCGGTAGAGACTCTGAGCATAGTTTTTTACAACTTGATTGTTTTGGTACAAACATTTACCCGCCAGTGTGGCCGATAGCCTTCTGAGATTGACGCGCCAAACAGAAAATCTACCCACATTTGGCGCTTGGCAGGTGTTGAGTTCTGACCCTGGTGACCTAAAAAATCTGTCACCAAGATTTATTACACTGATGCACAAAGTGTTGGAGCAGTTCATGTTCCCAAGCGCAAGCTCCACCCAGAAACTTTTTGGCGTAGATCTACACTGTTCATAATATATGCTGAGGTTAGCAGAACAAGTGGATTGGCATGCTAGTCGGTCACACTATGGCGAGCGCAAATGAAACAGCGGTGCTGAAGGTGTGCCTGCGGCTTCCCAATCAGCTACAACAGCAACTGACGGCATCTGCCATATGTGGCTATCAGTTGGACGAGCTAAAGTCCTTGTCCACGCTGCTTTCAAGCAGCTTTAAGACACAAAATTTAAACACAGAACCGTGACTTCTGTGTACCCTTACTGCCCTTGCGAAGAAATTAGCTAGAGACAACACTTAAAATGTGAAAAACAAATGTGGCGTGTTGAAAAATTTCAGGGGCACTTAAATAATGTTCTGGTGCAACTCAGTAAAAAAGGCACTACAGTTCAACCAATGTAAGAAGTTAGTGTGTAGCCCTGCTCTCTTAGTGTCATGTAAAATGGAGACTGTTACTCACTCCATTCAAAGAGACAATCTGCTGTTGTGATATGAGTGTAGTCCTGAAATATAGTACAACTCCCACTTCTTCAGATGTTACAAAAGGACAAAAATACTGTCTTACATTCAGTCCATTCTGGAACAAAGAATAATTTCATGTTATATTTAGGTAGGAGATGCAGCACGGTACAATTTTACACACTATATTTCTCTCTCAGGAGTAGCTTGGACTTTGATTTTATAAATTATATTCACCTATTATGTCAAGCCCCTTTAACACCCTCAATTACCCTCTACCAGCTTCCTTGATATTGTGTGGCACTATACATTAGCTTGTAGATCAAGCAATCCCACTAGCAGGAGGTGAAGGTTGTGTAGGGAGCACCATTATTAATGTGGCAATAGACAGGACATTAGCTGTAGTAAACTGTAGAGGGCTGGCGAGATATATTTAGCATTAATTTAGTGCGCACAGAAGTGGAGAGATCAGGCTGACGAGTTTGACGGGCCTTTAATTATCGGGCACAAAGGTTGAAAGCGGGTGCACAAGGCTTCTCTTCATGAACATCAAGCATTAACACGTCGGGGTCTTTGTTAATTAGCACATATAAGCCAGCCCTTTGTAGCAGGGGTAATAATGTGCTAATCCGCTTGGCTAGCTCAGCCACTCTCCATTAGCCCTTGTCAGATTTAGCATTGCTTGGGCTTCAGTTGTGTAGCCGGCTGAAGGGCTCGACATGTTCCATCACTTAGTCTTTCTTTAGGTGTGCATGGACACACTGTTACGGAGTAAAGGATTTTCTCTTTATGCGCCACAATATATCTTTTCCCCTGTGTAGTTTGTACAATCATTGTTCCTGTCACAGCGCGGCAGACAAAAGGCCACTCTGTGAAGGCTGATGGAGTGGGTGAATAAATATACATGAATAAATGAATGAAGCAGTATTGATTCAATTTGTACAATCAAGCTGGCAACTGCAGAATGTTTTTTGGAGGAGCTGTACACATTTCAAACCGCCCTCTCCCTCTCTGCCTCCTGTCAGGCCCTGGAGCAACACTGCAGAGTGGAGTCTGGCTTCTCCGGGATCCGTGATGTTTACACCACGACAGCCAGCCACGATAACATGCAGCAGAGCTTCTTCCTCTCAGAGACACTCAAGTAAGTCCTGTTCCCTCGCCACATCCCCCTTCGGCATCTGCATGCACAGCCCATTTCAGATATAGAAGTAATAATAGGGTCCAATATTTTGAATGCTGGAGATTCATCTGCACCTTTTTAAGCTCTGTAAATGAGAAACTCTCCGCTGAGCTGATTACAATCACACTTTGAATGTGATTTTCTTCATTCCACTTGTAAAGAAACTGGATGGCGAATAGATGATGTGCATTTAGATGCCTCAACTTCAGCTCCCACCTCATTCTTGGGTCACAAGGCTTCACAAAAATTCAGGGTGCCACGTCGTATCACAGCTAGTAGACGGTGATGAGGCTTTTTTTCCCCTTAAGTCAGGGCAGTAGGAATCATATCCAGGTCAGCAGTCACCAGACGACTTTTAACACCAGACTGTGCTGCCGCCTCACCCGGTGTTGCACTATCTCTAATGTGCATCCACTTTCAAACTGAAGTGACTAATCATGACAAAAAATCTTTGCTCGTGAATAATTTAGTGATGTTAGATTGAGCTGGGAAGCATTCCTGCATGTCGTCTGTGGGGAAGATTACGAACTGTGGCCAGTGCTGAGACTCTGTTGTGGTTAAAGAAGAAGACTGGTATTATTCTTTAGTTTTGTTTATGCCAAAAGATGTCATTTTAAAAAAAAAAAAAAACATCAGTCATTTAAATTAGCAGTCCACAAAGCCTTTCAATCAAAGTGCATTTATAAACTTCATGTTAAATTATTAGAGTGATGAATGTTATAATTGTTTTTATTAACATTAGAGCCACTGTTTCCCTGTTAATGTTGTTTTAATTTATTCTGAATTGTGAAGTCTGTTTCAGTATGAGCACTCTAAATAATAATTAGTCTGTCTGATGATGAATAATAATGATGATTGAGGTACCACTGGAACAACAGTTTATAGCATAGTCTCAAAGTGCAGCCCCTCACAAACATTTTGTGGGCCTGAGCGTGATATGAAATATGTGAATTATATTTTTACTGTCTTCAGTCCGTTTCGATACTTTTATTCTCAATATCTTACATGTAGTATTTTAATAATTATACACCACTCGGTGACTACGTCAGACTGCGCCCCCATCACAAGCATCTGTCAGGTTCAGAATGGTGACTTGTAGAAAGTTACTGGTTGCATGGCAACAAGTGGCACCTTGTGACTGTTAAAGGAATTCTGTTTCTCATCAAAGCTAGTGCTGTTAGCTAAAGTTAGCGATTACAGTGCATTCTAAAGCAACAGTTGGTCACTGAGAAATAGGCAATGCAGTAACAGAATCTTGATTCATATTTTATTAGTGCTGCCTAGGTTGACAGTTTAACCACAGTTCACGAGCAGCAACTGACTTGATTGACAGCTGCGTTAGAGAATTCTCATTTCTGTTTTTCATTCACATGCAGTCGATATTTGCAAATGCCATTAGAAGCACCAACAGGGGGCAGAGCTACGTGATTTTTATTTTCAGAGATAATCTGCCTCATGGATTTTGTTTTATGTGTGCACCTTTTCTGTGCGGCTTTCAATCACATGTTGGTACCCTAATTAGGATTCAGGGGGGAAAATGGCATAAAAGAGCCCAAGTATTGTATGCTACAAGAAAAAACATTAAAAAACTAGTCTAGCCAACTTTCATTAAAAAAACAGTCTTAAGAAAAGTCATGGTGTAAAATGTCATAGCAGAGTATGCCATGAAATATTTTCATAAAAAAGTCATAGTATATTCTTCCATAAAAAATTTCAGAGTAATGTCTTAAAATGTCATAGTATATTATGCCATATAAAGAATTCATTAAAAAAATAGTACCATATTCCTTTTTTTTTATTAAAACGTCATAGTAAAAAAATGCCTTACAATTTTTAATTAAAAAGTCATAGTATGGTATGCCATGCCATAAAAAAATTCAGAATCTAGTATATCATAAAGAATGTCAAAAGGTCATAGTATGCCTTAAAACATTTTCATAAAAAAGTCAGTGTAGTCTTCCTTAAATTTATTTATTTTTTTATTAAAAGTCATATAAAAAATACAGAATGTATGTATCATGGTCATTTCATAAAGTCACAGTATCCCATAAAAAATCATAAAAGTCACAGTAAAGTATGCCATAAAAAATGCAAAATGTGGTCATAAAAAAGTCAGTCATTATATCCTACAAAACAAACATCAAAAAATTGTAGTATAGTATGCAATGAAAGTTTCACCAAAAAGCAACAGTTAAGTTATTCAAAAAAATAATGAAAATGTCATAGTATACTTTCTCATGAAAAACTTGAAAAGTATAGTATGCCATAAAACATTTTTATTAAAAGGTCAGAGTAGTAATCCTTTAAAAAGAAAAACAAATCATAAAGTCATAGTATAGTATGTGATAACACATTACAGAGTATAGTCATAAAACTGTAAAAGTCATAGTATCCTCTAAAAAAAAGTCACAGTATAGTATACTATAAAGATCTTTTCAAAAGACATACTATAGTATGCCATAAAAAAGGCAGAAATTCATTAATATGTGTTAACATGAAAATTTTTGCCATAAAGAAAAACAGAATACAGTACACCCTAAAAGTCAAAAGTTTGTATCCTAGTATACTATTTAAGAAAGAAAAAAAAAATCATAAAATGTTATAGCAGAGTATGTCACAAACAGTAGCAGAATATAGTATGTCATAAAAAATGTCATGAAGTCACGGGATACTGTTAAAAAAATCAGTAAAAAAAAAAGTCATCCTATAGTCAGCCATAAAACAGAAAAAGTTTCATAAACATGTCCTAGTAAAATTTGCCATAAAAGATTCATAATCTGGTATGTTATTTAAAAAATGTCACAGTCATATTATCCCATTAAAAATCATTACATTTAAGTAAGCCATACATTTTTTTTAAGTCTTAGTATAGTATGCCATCAAAAAATCAGAATATAGTATTTACTTGAAAAAAGTCATTAAGTTAAATCCCATAAAAAATCATTTAAAAAGTGAGAGTATTATATGCCACAAAAAAATTCATGTAAAAGTCATAGTATAGTATTCCTGTGTTGTTTCTTCTGTGTTGTTGTTATTGATTATTTCATTTACTATTGTACAGTGACCTTGAGTGTTTTGAAAGGCGCTTTTCAAATAAAATGTATTATTATTATTCCAAAAAATTATTATAAATAAGAAATCATTCTGAAGTAGGCCCTTTTGAATAATACTTGACATAAAGTAGATTTCAATGCTAATATTTTGTACTTTTACTTGAGTAAAATTTTAAATTTTAAATAAATAAAAGTACTTTTACCTATTTTTACACATTGAAATATCAGCTGTAGATTCACTGATTAGTATTCACAGGTGATTTGACCCAAACACTGAAGGTCCCAATTAAAAATTATTAATTTGTTAAATTTAAATTATTGATATGTGAATGAAATTGGGGTGACGTGATCCGCTAGAGAGAAATTGTGTATTTGTTGGAACTACAGAAAGCAGATGTAAATATTTAATGAGCTGATATTGTGATTAAATTAAATGGATGTGTTTCCTGTGTGCTTAGGTATCTGTACCTGCTCTTCTCTGACGACGACCTCCTCCCTCTGGAGGACTGGGTCTTCAACACAGAAGCCCACCCGCTGCCCGTCATCCGCAACAGCTGCCTGCAGGACGAAGCAACACAGGACAAGACAGTCGCTGAATAAGACTGAACACCACCCTGAGGACTGAGACAGTTACAGACACATCTGCACAGCTCATGTGCACACACAGAGTCACACAAATATTGCAAACACAGATTCAATGCAGGTTCAGAGTCTTTTCAGGAGCGTGTCATGGACTCTCAATTCCTTTCCAGTAAAGGATGTTGTCGTTTTACGCTGTGATTGTATATCCTTTCGCCGGGGTTACTTCCTGCTGGCACTTCTTTTTTGTGGACAATCAAGACAAACATGACTTTCATGAAAAGAGCACCTTTTTCTTTCCTTCTTTCCTCTGTGAGGAAACCAGTATAACTTGCAGACCCAAATGTAATGGGAGGAGGGTTGAACCATGGGCCATATTGTTAGAAAGAGAGAGAAACGTATAGAAAACCACTTGAGTTTTGCTCTTTGAGTTTGTTGTTTCGTTAATCTTTAGTGATGAAAGATTTCCTTTTATCTCGTCATTGCATCTTTTCCTTTGTGAGTACGCTCTTTGACCAAAGGTTTCTTTGCATTTCTATTTTTCCCTCTTTTATAGTAACGTGTTTATGGTGAGATTTGACAGAAAGTGAAATTAACAGTAAGGACTGAATTGTAATGAATATTGATAATGTACAGACAAACATGAAATGTGATTCTCGAATCCACCTCCAAACTAATGTTGATGTCATGTTTCCTACTGAAACAAGCTTGAATGAATTTCTTAAAAGTTCGGAGGTGTCAGGAAAGTGGCAGTGTCTTATGCATCCAGGGACCATTTCTTTTTAAAGACAATGTTGGGTTGAGTTTCCACTGTATGCTTGGGTTACTTTGTGAACAGGACAAAGCTTTCTCAGTCCTCTCAGCCTTTCAAAGCAGAGTATGGAGTACTGTCTGTTCTGTGGCTGTAATGCATAAAAGGAAAAAAAAGAACACATTTGCTAGCCAGCTCCAAATGGGTTTTCCTGTTTCTGTTGTAGTTCTTCTGCTTCACTCTGCCTTTACTTGTGAATCCATACGGCTGCCAATACCGATGCTAAAGGCTGTGAGCGCGAGAGCAGAGACGAGTTTTCATTTCCATCACTGTTCTTTTCATCACTGCTGTCCTGCACAGTTTGTGGAGCGAATGTGCTGTACATACAGATGAAGCGAGTGACCGACCCCTGTATGAGCTTGTCTTGATTTTATTTTGTGATCTTTTCTTTCTTTCTTTTCTTTTTTTTTTATTTCTAAACTTCAGTGGTTACTTTTTCTGGGTTCTCTTTTGATTTGCTTCCCTCAGGTGTTTCAGTAAAAAACAAAAACAAAACAAAAAAAAAACTAAAAAAAAGTTCTGACTTTAAGTCTAGTTATTGCTGATATTAATTATTGTTATTACTTATTCTTACTGTTTGATTTAACTTTCATTGTTGAATATTTTCAAATACTGATAAAAAGACCTGTGCAACTTTGTACATTTAAAACAATCCCAGTCGTTCAGTGTGTTTTTTTTTTTTTTTTGTTTGCCCTGTTTGTTTACTTCTCACTATAAAGCCAGGAATTTCTGTCTGTATGTCAGTGTGTCCTTCACATACCTCGAGAACCTTTCATCTAAACAACCAGACACTTGGCCGCTGTTTTGCTGAGGCTAAAGGATGCACAATGTAGAATATGGTGCAGTCTGCACACACAATGTATTAACAAACTGAATAAACGGGGCATTGGTGGCTTAGTGGTAGAGCAGGCGCCCCATGTACAAGGCTGTTGCCGCAGCGGCCCGGGTTCGAATCCAGCCCGTGGCCCTTTGCTGCATGTCATCCCCCCTCTCTCTCTCCCCCTTTCACGCTTACCTGTCCTGTCCAATAAAGGCAAAATGCCCTAAAAAATATCTTTAAAAAAAAACAAAACAAAAAAAAAAAACAAACTGAATAAACAGGTGACCAGCGCTCTGTGCAGCTGGGAGGTGGAGCTTCAGGACTACGAGAGTCGAGCATGTCTTGATAACACCTCGTTTCCACTTAGATGTGTGACTGGTGTTCGTAAATATCAGAGTGTGGATACCTGACCCGAGCCCAGCACGTCGGGGCAGATTCGGATAACAAATGAGAAATTTTGCTGTTGTGCTTTGATCTATTTAGATGCTGGAATTTGCTATTTACCCGACAGCGCCTGAATGCAACACCGACTCTGCTCCAGTTGAGTGTGTGTGCAGCTTGTTTGACTGTGCGTAACAGCGGCCTTTTGATGGTCATTTACACACTACCCATGTGTGATCACGGTAAACAGACAAGCTGTAACCATGATAACAATAACTATGTCAGGTAACAAACTGCAACAGGCTCAGAAAGTCAGAAAGTCTGTCGGGGCCGGCCTTGGTTATTACTCTGCCGGACTCAGGTCAGGTTCGGTCAGGAAAATGTGGCCCGAGCAGCACTTGAGTTAATATACGGATGAAGCCTCTAGTGTCCAATGGAAGGAAGTGCATTTCTTTACAGTGGAGAGAAACCTGATAGAAACCACCTGTAGTCTTGGGGTAGAGGCTAATTTTGTCCAGTTTTAGGCATCATGTAGTTTGAAATATGTGCTTAGAACATTACCGGGACAAAAACAGGACCTGCCAGGTACGTGGCTTGTTTTGTTAAATATCTAATTAAAAAGACGTACGAACGGCTGAACGAGTCATAAACACAATCCGACTGCGTATAATGTATAACCATATTTTAGCAGAATAACATTCCTAAAATTCACAATGGGTTAAAACTAAACTAAGCACAAAAAGTAAGAAAATTTGTGTTTGGTAGATTATTTCTTTGTTGTAAAAATACTTTTCGGCAATAAATCTACCATTGGAAAGCCTGTTTATTTCCCTTTTAAATGGTGCCACATTTGTAAGGAACATGCATTTGTGGGATGAGCAGCAGAGTTGAGTATGTGGGTTGCGCCCATGAAAAATTTGCCAAATCTTCTCTGGCAATGCCAAACCGCTTTTATTTGCTGTTGCTACTGACTCTTGTTTTGAGCTTCTGGTACGCCCCAGCTCTGCTGCTCATCCCACAAATGCATGTTCCTTATAAATGTGGCACCATTTAGATTTATTAGATTTATTGCCAAGAAGCATTGTTACAACAAAGAAATAATCTACCATACACAAATGTCCTTACTTTTTGTGCTTAGTTAGATAACAGGTTCTTTTTAATTATACAAACTCACTTGACGATCAACACAGGCAACTGAACTGAAGGAAATAGCCTGTTAGCTAGTTAGCAGCCTGTTAGCTAAGATAGCACACTGTCATACGTTCTCTCCGAAATCCACTGCAAAAGTTCAGTTGTTTTAACATACTCACGACAAATTCTAGATCGAAATATTACAGATGGGAGGAGATCTGTAGCATATATCACGACTGTACCCATAGGAATAAATAGACTTCCGGTTGCCTTGTCTCTGTACAAGTGGAAACAAGGCGTAAGTATATTTCACTGATGTTTCTGACCACAGATAGCTGCAACTTGGGTGTGTGTTTCTTTGCCACAATAACTTAGAACATTAATAACGTTACCACTGGCAAAATACCTCAGCTAATTAAATCCCTGCTCTATTATAACAACGTTGGTTATGTCAAAGTGTAGGGGAGACCGGGGATGATTGTAACACTTTTTGTTTGAGCAAGTGTAACTCAGTGGGTTTTTTTGTTAGAGCTCTTAAATTTTGATACGTGGTACCCATATTTGTCTGCTATAAATAACACACACTTTGACCTCTACTACACCATCACAGATTATGGAAATTAATGTCAAATGCAAAGAGGTATATTGTTATAATGTACCCCAGTACCGGGGTGAGTTGTAACACTAGCTGGGGATGGATGTAACAATTAAATTATTGTGCTTAAAAAAGATTCACAATAGGCTAAATGTATTAAAGCATTTCAATGAATAATAAAGAAGGAACAATAAACTTGTAAGGATACAATAATTATAATATTAAAATTAATAGAAATGTATAACATAAATACAAAAAAGGTTGACGTTTGAACAGCATTTGAACAGTTGAACAAGAAACACTTTCGAAGAGTAACTATTATCTGAGCAAACTAAGGCATAATACCTATAGCCTATTTTTTAATCTGATTGGCAGTCGTGGCAAATGTAGATGTCCTTGCCTGGGGTGCAGGCTTCGTGGGCCCAAAATCCACACTTTTTAAGAACTGTTACAACCCTCCCCATGCCTAGCAGCTATGAAAGAGCTAACCGTTTTTAGCATTTAGCTTCAAAGCTAGCACTAATGAAACACATCAAATTAAACTAGAGAAACTACTACTTGAACCTATGTAAGTGAAACAATTGTGCATACAACACAATAGACACTATGCAAAAAACAACTGTGATGAAAATGTTTGGTTTCTCACCTGAAAAACGTTTTTTTGGCTCTAGAACAGACAAATTTGGACTCAGAGACATGCGGCTTCACCAGTGAGCTCTAACTGTAAATGGGCATGGACTATGTTGATGATGTCACCACAGCTCGTTTCTAATTGGCCAAACTGAGAGTGTTACAACTATCCCTTTGTTACAACCATCCCCGGTTTCCCCTATGCATGCGACAAATATGCCTGGAAATTAATAAATCCATAAGTAAGTAGTATATCATTGAGTTGCATATTTTTAAGTGCTTTTGGGGCATTTTGTACATTACTTAGAGTACAATGAGTCAGAACAGTGACATCATTCAATATTTTTCATATCTAAACATCATAATAAATGTATAGCTGTGTGGGGCCCAGGTGTGTGGCTCATGAAGCACAGTGTCAAGTGTCAAGTTGTTTGTATGAGCGGTTCTCGAGAAAGTTGCAAGCAGCAACACCACAGGCCAAGAAATCGGCTGGTTCCCAACACGTTAGGAACAGGCGCTGTAGGAGTATTTACAGATCTTAAACAAACCTGAATGTGCTGCTTTTTGTTGTATTTGTTTTCCACTACATTTGATTATTTGATTTTGTGCAGCAGGTTGTTACAGTATGTTCAAAGCAAACAACCTGCAGTGAGTCACAAAGGAAGGGAAAGAAACTCGATTCGTTTGCTGCTTACATTTGTTTCGGTGTTTGCTTCCAGGAAGTTCATTACGGATTTAATTGGAGGGGGATGTCTCAGGGTTGTGGAAAGTTCCAGCAGTCATAAGCAGAAAATTACTAATGGGGTTTAGCCATTGCACCTCTCTCACGGTGTCAGGCCAACAAAGCAAGATTTAATACCGTCCTCCCCAAATGATTCGACTCTACCCGCTGTCGTTTGAATCCTAATTTCGCCCTGATAGCTTCAAGTGATTTTTCATTTGCCTTAAATAGATTCAGCATGCATTATTGACAGGATTGACATTTAATAGTAATTTCAAAAAATGGTACTTAAATGTCATGGATCTGGTGACATTAATCTTACCGTCACTTTAAAAAAGGACTGTTGCAAAGGTGTGTGAGTTTAAATACTAAGTGTAAATGTAGCTGAGGCCCGCGGTGCTCTGCTACAGTGCAGGAATAGTCTGATAATGAAAAGAAGGGCAGAAGTGAAGGGCACAATTTAAGCTCGCCTGGAGACATAAATGGGAGGATCACTGTCCATTTAAATGCACCTGAGGCTGCTAGTGAAGGACAAACACTACAGATAATCCCACCACTCTCATGTTTTGTTTTGTTTTTTTTTTTTTTGCCTTTGCTGCTCCCACATTCCCTGACAAGCTGAGCAGGGCAGCAGAAACAGACATGTGGGGGCTGCTGTCTGACTTGGCAAGACCTTCCGTCGATGTGTAGCGGAGGGGGAAGAGCCGTCACTATCTCTCTGCCACAGTCGTCCTCCAGCTGCCCCAAATGGCTGCAGTTTTACATGGAATAACCGGCACGTCATGGAGATCTGGTTCAAATATTAATTCATTTCAAAACATTTTCGACTCCACTTAACTCACATTTTCAACTGCCCAGTGATCGAGGACAAAGGAATGACAATAAAATGTTGTTTTCAAGCCAGACAGAGAAAACAGCAAAGCAGTGTGTGTGTGTGTGTGTGTGTGTGTGTGTGTGTGTGTGTGTGTTCAAACTGTGATATATTACGTATTCACCTTACCCTTCTGTTAGGTCAAATGAGATCACACTCTGTGAAAATGTTAACTAAGATTTACAGGCTGATGACAGCAGAGGTACAATGACAGAGTGCAATTAAGTTGCGCTCACACCAGAGGGGAAAACAATTCATCTCTCTGCACTGACTTTGTTTTGCATGAAGGTGCCTTTCTGTCACGTCTGCTAGCAAACAACAGAGAAATGCCTAAAAGCTGCTGTGTGGTTGAATGCACCACTAACAGGGTAACAAAAACAGAACTAAGTTTTTATAAACTGAAAGCAGAAAAACTGAACCTCTAAGAAGACAAAAGTTGATATTACATTGGGGATGTAACTTCCATAAAGTTGAGGCTATTACATTAGTTACAGTTCCTAATTTGGCCTGACAGACTGTAGAGGTTGAAGCCAACAAAGCTTTGTAATGTCTGGTTTTGATCTTTGTTACAATAAATAATCTTACCT